GTGGCCCCCTTTTTTGGCTACCTTTCACGTTATTTTCGATGCGCAGTCAACTGGCGCCTTCTACTGTACGGACAGTCGACGCCATGAATGAAACAAACGACGCTGAGTGGGTTAAAACGGCGATTTCTGACAAAAACGTTTTCAGTCGTTTTTTGGCATTCAGAAGGCCATTTAGCGGAAATGGACCATAGTTTTATACTCAGTGCTCATGCCCCTATACCATGCAAAAAAACCATTTTCAAAAAGCGTCCCACGCCCTGAAAGACCTTCTTTGTAAGGTGTTTAGTTAGCTGTCAGGTACTATTCATCTGCAAAAAACCAGATACTAGTAAGGCTAGACCGTGATGGTTTGATGCGTCCACGGTTGGGTTCGATAGTATCGTAACGGACGTATTTCCCTTGTCCTACCAAGGGTTGAATTACCAAGGGCTTCAGTTGCTTTACCAAGTTACCAACTTCATCCTATCTCGATGCCCACGTGATTCTTTCACTTGCTACATTTTAGGCCTCAATACGCTCTGCTGGACGAATGCACATCGGCAGTATCTATCGACGTTGAAGGAGGTATCTACCAAGCAATGAAAGACAACGGAATCACACTGCTGACTGTTACTCATCGACCGAGCTTGTGGTATGTCGGCTTTGAGCTACTGACTATTCGATTCACTAGTCGAAATTGCGATTGTAGAGGTATCAGTAGAGAATGGAAACGTTGTGATACTGATTAGTTTACCGCAGTTACCGTAAAGAATCTAGAGGTAAACCCATAGATGGTTCCTTACTCATTGTCTGGTGCTACGGATAGATTGTTTCAAAAGGAAGGGTAAGCAAGTAGTGGAGAAGACACAACTGACAGATTTCGAGATAACTAGCAAATAATAGCTAAGAATCTTGACAGTGGCGAGAGAGTAGGGGAGACAGTGGCATTGAAGCTTATCCGTGACTTTGAACCTATCTTTCGCCTCCAAACTTATCTTTTTCCTAGAATTTGACTTTGCTTAAGGAAAATTTTCCAGTTTGAGAAAAAAGAAAAACGTTCGATCACCTTTGGTGTTTTTAGGAAATTCCACACACATTTACTACAGTACGATGGTGAAGGTGGGTACAGACTGATCTCCTTGAACGATTCGACACTGGTTGAGCGATTATCATTGGTGGATGAGAAGCAACAGATCGAGCAAAAGCTTCACGATGTGCCACAGATGAAAGAACGACTTGCAGAATTGTGCCAGGTAAAGTTCACCTGATCAAATTCAGACCACTAAAAATACGGTACTTGAGCTTGGTTTTGGTATTAGAGAGTTGGAGGACCTCTCAGGCTCTGGAATGAAAATCGTAGTTTGGTACAGTCTGCCAGTAACCAACGATGCCATCTACTGAAGGCTTAAACAGAAAGAAAATGACGAATTCTTGAGCGGATTCCCTACCGCCTAACCTCTCCTTTCAAATAACTGCTAACTCACGAAT